TTGCCACGCTGAGCGTGCGAAGCTACACCGCCTCGATGAAGTCCTTGGCCCAGAGGCTTGCCTGGAGAGACGTCATCTCGATGTTCGAAGGCATGAAGGAGCAAGGCCTGCCAATGGATGCCTTCTGCTACAGCGTGGTCACTAGGTGGGCTCTTGGATTGTGTTTGTGTTTTCACTTCCCGAATCTTCGTGCCTTGAGTGGGTTTCCCGAAGCCCGAAACCCTAAACCCCAAACTAAGACCCTAAATCGTTAACCCCAAAAGAAAGGTTCAAGAGCAAACCTAGGTCAGCAGTGCCTGCGACAAGGCAAGTCGCTGGCCGCAAGCACTGGAGGTCTTCCGAGAGGGCCTGGAGGCTTAGGGTTCAGGGTTCAGGGTTCAGGGTTTAGGGTTTAGGGTTTAGGGTTTAGGGTCTAGGGTTTAGGGTTTAGGGTTTAGGGTTGAGGAACCTGAGACGGGAACCTTAAAATCAAGCTGGGGTTTAGGGTTCTGGGTTTTGAGTGGGTTTTGGGGGTTGAGGTTTAGGGTGTAGGCTGCTTCCGTTTTAGGGTCTCGGCTTGTGGGGTTCAGGGCTTAGGATCGTTCGGAATAACTCAATTTACCGTGCAAAGAATGCCATGTTCATCTTACGGTAACTTCATTCCCCAAATCCGAAACCCCAAACCCCAAACCCTAAGCCCCCAAACAGGAAAAAAACAAACCCTCAAACCCTAAGCCCGAAACCCTAGCCCTCAACCCTAAACCCTAAACCCAAATCCCAAATCCCAAATCCCTAATCCCTAATCCCTGAACCCTGAACCCTAAACCCTAAACCCAAAAACCTAAAACCTAAACCCCAAACCCGAAGCCTCAAACCCTCGACCTTCGACAGGCCGTGGCCCCCAGCAACGCCAACATCTCCACTGCCGTCAGCGCCTGCGGCCGGGCCTCGGACTCTCGGCCTGCCAGTGGGCTCCTCCTTCCCCTTTCTGGGAGCTTCGGGTTTGGTTTTAGGGTTTAGGGTTTAGGGTTTAGGGTTTAGGGTTTAGGGTTTAGGGTTTAGGGTTTAAGGTTTAGGGTTTCGGGTTTAGGGTGGGTTAAAAGGCCCTCAAGCTTAAACCTTCGGGTTTGGGGTTGAACCCCGAACCACCACCAAAAACCTCAAGCCCTAAACCCTGAACCCTAAACCCGAAAGCCCCCAAAACCCCCTAAACCCCCTAAACCTTAAACCCAAAGCCCACAGCCGGAAGCCCCCAAAGCCCCCAAAGCCCCCAAAGCCCCCAAAGCCCCCAAAGCCCCCACAGCCCCTAAAGTCCGATCCCAGGACTGGCCCTCGGCCCTGGCGCTGCTGAACGAGTTGCCTCTCTTTGAGCTGGCTGCCGATGCTGGGTGGCCGTTGAGGGTTTAGGGTTTCGGGTTTAGGGCTTAGGGTTTAGGGTTTAGGGTTTAGGGCTTAGGGTTTAGGGCTTAGGCGGCAGGGTGCAGGGGGAAGGGAATAGGATTTCGGTTCCAGGGCTTAGGGCTTAGGGGGCAGGGTTCGGGGTCTGGGGGTCTTAAGGTTCAGGGTGTGGGGTGGGGTTTAGAGAGCTAAGGAACTTAGGCTTAGATACCATGAGCAGGAAGCCCTGTTATGCACGCTTACATCCACATGGCTTTCGCTTGAGTTACGTAACTTCATGTGAGTTCCATAAGTAACCTTTTAAACCCCAAACCCCAAACCCCAAACCCCAAACCCTAAACCCTAAACCCTAAACCCTAAACCCTAAACCCTAAACCCTAAACCCTAAACCCTAAACCCTAAACCCTAAACCCTAAACCCTTTTGTCCCAGGATGCCGGGGTCTGCAACGCCTGCATGAGCGCCTGCAGCAGGGGCTCGGCCTGGCCCTGGGCGTTGCGCCTCAGGAATGCTTGGGAAGTAATTCTTAAGTTTAGGGTTTAGGGCTTAGGGCTATTAGGGTTTAGGGTTTAGGGTTTAGGGTTTAGGGTTTAGGGTTTAGGGTTTAGGGTTTAGGGTTTAGGGTTTAGGGTTTAGGGTTGCTATAATCCCTAAGAAACAGCAGAAATTCGGTGATTTTTGCCAGGGTTCCAAGTTCAGTATAGGCTCCTCTTCGAGCAGATGAAGCTCGAGGGCCCGCGGCCCACGAGCCTCGGCGGCTGCTCTAAGGCAGTGAAAGGTCAAGTTACCAGAGCATATATATGTATATATATATATATATATATATGTATGTATAATTCTGTATGTATATACATGTGTGTGTTTATGTAGTAGTAGAAGAGTGTATTTGGTAGATATGGTTTTTCTTATTGCGGTCGCTTTTATATGGCGTTCCACAAGTTTAGCCCAGGAATGTGACCTTCGGTGCAGCCAGCAGCGCTTGCGAGAAGGGCTTGCAGTGGCTGGCCGCCGTCGACATCCTCTCGACGCTTCTTTGCAAAGACAGGCGCGCGGATACCACCACGGCTTTGATCTGCTTCTAGGCCTGGAGTGGCTACCGCAAACCCTAATGCCCTAGAATCTTCCTCCGTTTGTTCTTAGGGGCTTGCCTGATACCCCATAAGGCTCTGAACCTTCAAGCCGTTGTTTTGCGCTTCCCTTCCACAGCCCAAACCCCAAACCCATCTAAACCCTCAACCCCAAAACCTCGAGCGCAGAATCGCTAAACCGCTTAACCCAAACCCTCAACCCTAAACCCTCAACCCTAAACCCTAAAAACCCTAAACCCTAAACCCTAAACCCTCAACCCCTGCATTGCTGAGAGACTCAGGCTTCAACACGGCCCTCAGCGCCTGCGAGAAGTCCCTGCAATGGCCCATGGCCCTGGGATTGTTTCAGGAGCTCCGTCGCGAGCAGCTGCCTTGATAGCCAGTGGTCCCCTTTTGCCTTTTTTGGGGCTTCCCTTCTAAATATATAAAAATAATAAATATAAATATAAATGTAAATATAAATGATATAAATACAAATATAAATATAAATATAAATATCAATATAAATATACATATAAATAGAAACATAAATATAACTATAAAGAAATAAAAATAAATAACTAGAAATATAAATATACATGTATAAATATAAATATAAATATAAATATCTAAACATAAATATGAATATAAATAAATAAATATATCTATATATATATATGTAGTAAGAGAGATTTAGGGTTTAGGGCTTAGAATTTGAGGTTCCCTCGTAAAGCAACCCAACCCCAAAAAGGCGACCCTTATTGCACTATGGTTACTGGGCTCCCAAGGCTGAAGCCCAACACCATTACCTTCAATGCCGCTGAGCAGATGTTTGGAGAATCGTTTCTTTGGGGCTTGGGGAGTTTTTTTGGGCTTTTCCCTTAGTCCCCTCTTCTTCTAGGTTTCGTGTCGACAAGCCTAGGTAACACCCAAAAAGGTTCCTGGCCAACCAGGGTACGTAGAAAACCCTTTAATGCGATGAAGCCCTTCGAAACCCCATTTTGCAACCCCAATAAGCCCTGTGAGCTAAGCTGGAGCCCCCAGCCCCTAAACCCTAAACCCTAAACCCTGAACCCTGAACCCCGAACCCCGAACCCTGAACCCCAAATCCTAACCCTAAACCCTAAACCCTAAACCCAAACCCTAAACCCTAAACCCCAAACGAGGCCACCCTGGCTGCGGGCAGCAGGGGGCAGCTGTGGCCCACCTGCCTGGAGCTCATGGGGCAGATGCGCCGTGGGCAGGTGGAGGTCACCACCGTCACCTACAACCGGACCATCAGCTCCTTGGCCTGCCTATATATATATATATATATGTGTGTATGTACATAGTAAGAGAGGTTTAGGGTTTAGGGTTTAGGGTTTAGGGTTTCGGCTGCAGGGCTTCTCGAGTTTGGGGAGATCTTGTATTATGCGTTTCGGTGTTTTCGGTCTTTGATGCTTCCGCTTCCCTGGCTGCGCGCAGTGGAAGGCGGGTTCCGCGGGAACAGGTTGGAGGTCTGGGGCAGGGATCCTTGCCCTGATGTAGACTCGCCAAATCCCTAAGCCCTAAGCCCCGAACACCCTAAACCCAAAAACCCCGAAACCTACGACATCTCGCACAACTTTCAACCCGTCCCTTGGTTCCCACCAGCCCCCTTCTGCCCTGAAAAGCGCCGCCGCCCCGAAAGCCCTGAGTTCCCCGAAGCCCTGAATTCAACCAAACCATTCAACAAACGCCAACCAAAACTCCAAAGCAACCCTGAACAATTCCCCGACAGCCCGAAAAGCCCGAAAAGCCCGAAAAGCCCTCAATCCGAGGCTCCTGTCAGCATCCAGGAGCCTGGACTACGGCCCTGCAACTCTTGGAGGAGGCGCAGAGGTCGGAGCTCCAGCTGCTGCTGGGCTGGATAGGGCTTGGGTTTAGGGGTGTAGGGTTTGGGGGTTTAGGAGGTTTTTGCTTTGGGGTGGGCTCCAGGGTTTACAGCTTCCACAGGGTTTACGGGGTCTGCCGGGTTTGAAGGGTTTGCAAGGTTCAGGATGTTCCAGAAAAGATCAGAAAAGGTTTGTCTTAAGGTGCAGTGTGCAGGGCCTGTCGATAGTTCATGGGGCGTTTTGAGTGGGATTGCTCCGCTCATTTTTTCACGCAGGTTTGGGATGCAGCGCGTTTTGCGTAGGTTTCGCTCGCGGAGGGAGCGTGGCCCCGTAAGCTAAAACCCTGCGAAGGTTTGCAATAGCTTGCGTGAAGGTGTTTGTTTGCGAGAACCGGCCGTACAAGATTGTTCTTCACAACCTCAGGTATGGTTCTGGCAAGGGGTCTTGGAGGTAGATATGAGTAGGTAGGTAGGGGGCAGGCAGGTAGGTAAGTAAGCAGGCAAGAGAGAAAGAGAGAGAAAGAGAGAGAGAGAGAGAGGGAGGAGGGCGAGCGTGTGAGCAAGTAAGCAAGCGCAAGAGTGTGGGTGTGCGGGTGTGGACATGTGCAACAAACAGGCGCGGAAGTAACACCAGGGTTCCCTAAATCCTAAATCCTAAGCCCTAAACCCCAAACCCTAAACCCCAAACCCTAAACCCTAAAACCCTAAAACCCTAAAACCCTAAAACCCTAAAACCCTAAACCCTAAACCCTAAACCCAGGAATCTCATGACCTACACATCCACCATCAGCGCTTTGGCCAGCTCCGGGCAGTGGCAGAGGCCCCTTGCACAAGCCCAGAGGTGGTGGGAGCCCTAAAACCCTAAACCCTAAACCCTAAACCCTAAACCCTAAACCCTAAACCCTAAACCCTACACCCTACACCCTACACCCTACACCCTACACCCTACACCCTACACCCCAAACCCTACAGTGGGGTTGGGGTCTCAGGGAGTCCCGTACCCCCACATGAGTTCTCTGACCTGAGCACCCACGAATTGGGGCCTTCTCCCCTCCCCTAAAGTCTGAGCTCCAGATCCTGGCACCTTCGCAGCTTGTTGAGTAGCGCAATCTCTATTCGGGGGTTTACGAAAATAAGGCGCCCCTAGTATAGCCCAAATTTCTTGGGGGTTCCCTTATAAAAGGACCCCAAGTAAGGCACAGTACCCCGAACTTCAGAAACCCCAAAATGGTCCCAAAAGTGAACCTTGAATCGCCCTACAGCAGGGGCACCTAAACCCCTAACCCTAAGTCAACTTCGGAGGTCTCATTCTGAGTGAATCCTCCCATTTAAGGTTTCTGTTTTGGGGGTTCCTATTTTCGTAAACCGCCCAAGTCAACTTCGGAGGTCTCTCTCCTTGCTTTTCGGACTGCGAGACTGCCAGCTCACACCGGACGTCGTCAGCTACAACGCGGCCATGGACGCCTGCGCCCCATCGGCAAAGTGCCCCACATCGTGGTACAATATACCTTAAATGATCATAGGAACCCTAAGATATGATTTACGGTATATTCCTCAATTAGGGGGTCTTGAAGTCTCTGTGTACTGGCCCAAAAAATCCGACACCCGAAGCCCCTATTTTTGGTAATCAGGGGTTAGGTAGGCTCCCGAAGCCCTAAAGCTTCTTGCCGCAGAAGAAGGTCAGCCTGTTTAGTGTTCCTAGGTTCCTGGAGAACCTAGGAGGGTTTAGGTGGCTGGCGGTGCCCTAAGTCCACATCCTTGAGTTTTCAGGGTTAGGGTTTAGGCTTTCGGGTTAGGGGTTAAGGGTTTAGGGCTAAGGCTCAAGGGTTAGAGGGTTTGGGCTTTTTGGTTCAGGGGCTGAGGGTTCAAGACGCCGCAGCCGGAGGTAAAACCTCCCTGGAGGGGCACTGTGACAGCTGGCCCTGGGCGCTTCTCCTGTTCGACCTGCTGGGCCAGGAGGAGGGAGGCCCCTCAAAGGTTTAGGGTTTAGGGTTTAGGGTTTCCGGTTTCGGGTTTAGGGCTTCGGGTTTATTGGGGCTTAGAGGTTCTTATGGGTTTTAGGGTTTTGGGGTTAAAGATTGTCGGGTTTTGGGGTCTTAATTCAGGCTATGAAAATTTAGGGCCTAGCGGTTTTAACCTAAACCCCCCTAAACTGTACGAAGTTGGGGGCATCCGTACTTCGCGGCAGAGCCTCCTAAGAAGTTGCGTTCCCTGAGGAAGCCTTCCCAAACAACTCCTACAGAACCCTATGAACCCCTAAACGACCCGAAAAAATCCCCAAACCCTAAACCCTAAACCCTAAACCCTAAACCCTAAGCCCTAAACCCTAAACCCTAAACCCTAAACCCTAAACCCTAAACCCTAAACCCTAAACCCTAAACCCTAAACCCTAAACCCTAAACCCTAAACCCTAAACCCTAAACCCTAAACCCTAAACCCTAAACCCTAAACCCCTCGCAACCTCCTAGCAGACCTGAACGCTTCTCCTTCCCTGCCCAGTGTGCCCAAACGCCGTGAGCGTGAACAGCGCGGCCGACGCCTGCGGCCGCGGCAGCTTCTGGGAAGGGGCCGTGGCGCTGCTGGCGGCTCGAAGTCAAGGGGTTTGGGGTTTAGGGTTTAGGGTTTAGGGTTTACCCTAAAACCCTAAACGCCTGAACCCCTAAACCCCTAAACCCCTGAACCCTAAAACCCCTACCTTCCCTCCAAGCAACAGGCCCTAAAGTTCCCCGAAGCCCTAAACCCTAAACCCTAAACCCTAAACCCTAAACCCTAAACCCTAAACCCTAAACCCTAAACCCTAAACCCTAAACCCCAAACCCCAAGCCCTAAAGTTCCCCGAAGCCCCCTCAAACCCTGGGCTCCCAAGGCAGAGGCCTCGGCCCCGACGGCAATCACCTACCTCACCGCCTGGAGCTAAGAAGTATGGGGTTTAGGGTTTAGGGTTTAGGGTTTAGGGTTTAGGGTTAGGGTTTAGGGTTTAGGGTTTAGGGTTTAGGGTCTTGAGGGTTTGGGGTTTAGGGCCTTGAGGGTTTAGGGTTTAGGGTCTTGAGGGTTTAGAGTTTAGGGCCTTGAGGGTTTAGGGTTTAGGGTCTTGAGGGTTTAGAGTTTAGGGCCTTGAGGGTTTAGGGTCTTGAGGGTTTAGGGTTTAGGACCTTGAGGGTTTGGGGTTTAGGGCCTTGAGGGTTTGGGGTTTAGAGTTTAGGGCCTTGAGGGTTTAGGGTTTAGGGTTGAGGGCCTCGGGATTTAGTTTAGGGTTTGGGGTTTCGACGGTTTGGGGTTTAGGGGTTTAGGTTGTTTCGGGTCTAAAGGTTCGGGTGTTGAGGGTTCAGGGCTTTGTAGGGTTCAGGGGCCAGGCTGTACGAGACCTTGCTTAGCTTCGAAAAGCAGCAGCTCAACCTACCGAACCCTCAGCCCTTAAACCTTAAACCCTTCTTAAACCCTTAAGCCCTTAAACCCTTAAACCTGAAGCCCCTAAGTCCCTTAACCCCTGGTTGAGTCAAAGGGGTGGCGCAGCAAATGTTTGCGGAAAGGAGGCTCTGAAGCAAGCTGGCTGCGTTGCCCCGGCAGGGTCCCCCCCCCCCCCCCCCCCGCAACTGCAGAGAAGCGGTCAAAGCAGACAAAGGCGGGCCTTGCTGAGGAGATGCCCCCACGAGTCACAGAGGCTGGACGCGGCAACAGACTGGTCGGCAGTAGCCTGGTTTGCATTCGCCTTTGCTTCGTTCGTCGCCATGGCCTCCATCTATGAGGTCGGGGGGGCACCGTTCGGCTCCGTCGTGACAGCGTCGTGCATGCCCCTGGCCAGGTGATTCGTGCCGGATCCGTGCGTGTGGAGCAGGCGGCGGACTTGCTGGAAGAGTGCCAGAGCACAGGCCCGGCTTCGCGTGGGTTCGGAGTGTGTCCGTAGCAGCCGCGTCTTGTGTAGGTTCCGCGCACTATGGCGATGGCTACCACCTGAACTCCCGGTCCCTCCCCAACCTGTACGCACATCTGGCCCCTTACCTGGAGGACCGACGGTTGCTTTTGCTTTTTTTTTCTTCTTCCCCGACAGGATGCCGCCGTCATCACGTCCGATTCGTGCCTCTGCTACTCGGAGAACGGCTGGAAGGACCTCTCAATTGGGAATTCACGTGTAGGGTCGTCAGCTGAAGTCGCCTGTCAGGACTATCAGGGCAGCATCGCACGGACGACGCTGGGTCCCGCCCACGTCGAGCCGTTCTGGGGCAAGGGGCTGAGGGGCATGGCGGACGGCTTGGGGGCCGTTACCCTCCGGCCAGCCGCGGGGCGTGGCACGTTAGTGGTCGTCTGCGCAGGCTGGAGCGGTTGTCTTGTCTTCGTGAGCTCGTTCGATGGCCGAATCTGTCAGGCAACGACCTGTACACGCACCGCTGGCAGCGGTGGTGGCAGGTCAGGGACGCCATGAACGACCTGGCCCAGGCGCTGACATGCGGCATGGATCGTGTCATGTTTGAGTTCGTGCACGTATGCCCCGCAGATTGCCACCAACCACGGGCTGAAGCTCCTGATTTTGGATGTGATTCCCAACGTGGACATCCAGGAGGTCGGGCATGTTTTCGACTGGCTTGTTGCAGTTAGCTTGACTTCGCCGGCAGGCCAGCCGGGAGGAGGCGGAGGGACGATGAGCTTCAGGCCAAAGTCGCCGAAGCGTCAGGATATAAGCACGGCGGGTGTCAAAACAACGTCGGCTCGTCCGTTGTGTGGAGGGAAGGGCATGTTGACTGGCATGGCGTCTAGCTGCAGCTGATCGTTGAACATCTCTTGACCGCTGTGTGTTCCGCACGCATTTACTGACTCGAGCACACCTCCATGGAACCCATGGAATCCTCCTGTGAAGAGCAGATCATGTCCTCGGCGTCGGAGCCATCCAACTCACCTGGACTTGACAGACTTCGCTGCGGACCTGTCCCACCCCCATGACAACGCAAAACTGGCGGGCACACGACTGACCCTTACCAGCATCAACGACACCTGGCTTCGCAGACGTGACGGAAACATCCAGCTGGTTCGAATCTGGCAGACATCGCTGCGTACTCACGCCCACCTCAGCGCAATGCAAAGCTGGCAAGACACGCGGCTGACTTTGACGTGCGCAAAGTGCACGCACGGGATTAACCCTAGGCTTAGCAGAGACTGCGCGTGCACATGGCTCAGCTGTTGTAACGATGACACTACACTTCGCAGACACATCGCACACCTCCCACGCACCCGAATCTGACAGACGTCGCCCTGCAACTTTGACAAGGCATGAGCCCCTCCTACACAGCACCTGCACGCCTCCGCAGGAAAAACCTGCTGCAGACGCCACGCGTCGCGAAACTGTCATCGGCTCCCCCACAAGCTTCCCAACCCCGAACCCTCACTTGTCCTCCTTGACTTGCACTCTTTAGTAGTACACTTGTTGAGGCGGTAGCCAAAGCATATCTCCGAGCCATCTGGCGTGGCTCCAGCTGCTACAAACTCCTTGCGAGGACGAGCCTCTTTTCCGGCGCCCCTCGCATTGCCATGCTTCACAGGAACTTCTGCTTGCCATAGCCGCTGTGCCCATCTACTTGCTGTCTCTTCTCGTCACTGCCGGAATCTTTCGCTTGGGCGGAGCGACCTTGGCAAAGCGTAGAATATTACTCGCAACATAGGGTCGCCAGAAGTTTTGGTCTTCAGTCCCTACACCCTAAACTAGTCCCTAAACTCTAAATCCCCGAACCTCTTTCCCGGCGAAATTACAGATACCCCAGAACCCCGAATCCTGAAACCCCTAAAGCCCCCAAGACCCTAAACCCTAAACTGCAAACCCCCCAAACCCTAAGCCCTAAACCCCCCAAAATCCTTGAGGGCTCCCAGAAACAATGAGAGCCTCTCGAGGTCCTCAGCGCCTGCGAGCGGGCCGCCGCCTGGCAGGCGGCGGTGGCTGTGCTCGAGGCAAGCTCTGGCGAAGCTTTTCTTAGGGTTGAGGGTTGAGGGTTGAGGGTTTTGGGTTTTGGGTTTTGGGTTTAGGGTTTCGGGTTTAGGGTTTAGGGTTCAGGGTTTAGGGTTTAGGGTACTTTAATGTATTGTGATTAATGCACGTATTTACTATTGCTGTTATCTTGTTTAAGCAGCTATCATGGGCATATATATATATATGTATGTGTACATATACATATATATATGTATATAGGTATTTCTTTGTTGCTATTATTACAATTCTAGCCTTATGTAATCTTAAACGCTACGCGACCCGCCTCGGGCTGACTGTAACACGGGAATCCAAACCAAGGGGGGGGGGGGGGTGGGGTAGGGGCGGGTGGGGGGTGGGGGGGTGGGGGTGGTGGTAATCAGGTAATCTACCGAAACCTAGGGCCGTAGGTGTTTGGGCAGCACAAATCTAATCGCCTACCCACGGCGCATGGACAGGTTTGCGCCCAGCCTGCCATAGAGCCCCCCCCGCCCCCACCCCCACCCCGCCAACTATCCTTAATCATTGCCGTTATTATGATTATTACTACTGGTTGTTGTTATCATTGTTGGTATTGTTTTGTTCATCTTTCTCTCATTATGGCTGTTTCCATTTGTTTTTTCTTATATCGATGTAGGATGTTCCCCCTTAACAGGGATGATAATAGGGAGTAATACAATCCCTATTAAGGAGCTGTTTGTATAAGGGGAACATCCCGCATCATTATTTGAACCCTAAACCCTAAACCCTGAACCTTAAACCCTAAACCCTCACTGTCTTTCTTGGGGTTTGGGGGTCGAGAGGTCTAAGCTTAGAGACCAAAAGCCTCTAACCCCAACGACCCCTGTAAAGCCCTAAAAGCCCTAAAACAACCCTAAAAGCCTAAAGCCCGAAAGCCGGTAAGACCCTAGAAAACCCCAAGCCCTAAACCCTAAAACCCTAAAGCCCTACAACAACCTTAAAGCCCTTTGAAGACGCTAGGACACCCTTACCAAACCGTCGCAGGACAAACCCTAAAGCCCTAAAAAAGCCCTAAAGCCCTACAACAACTCTAAGACCCTAAAAAGCCCTAAACCCTCAACCCTCAACCCTCAACCCTAAACCCTAAACCCTAAACCCGTAACCCGTAAGCCCCAAGCGGTCGGAGGACATGGGCCAGCATGGCCAGAGGTGGGACACGGAGGTCCGATGCCAAGTTTTCGCCGCCTGGAAGGGCTGAGATCAGGATGCTTGGGGTTCCCAAGCTTTGGGTTTAGGGTTTAGGGTTTAGGGTTTAGGGTTTAGGGTTTAGGGTTTAGGGTTTAGGGTTTAGGGTTGATGAACTCAGTGTTCCGGGTTCTTGATGTGATCGGGTTCAGGACCCCCGTCTCCTTTTGCTACCGCCACGTTCACTCAGACCGCGCGTTTGGAGATTCCAGTGCATGTGTTACGAGAGCTCGCAGCAGCTGGGACCCGGGACCGTGCCATGCTGACCGACCTGAAACCCATAGTCATCGAATTGGCAGACAGGCTTCAGTATCGCACTAATGTTCTGGGCGAGGCAGCCACCACTTTGCATCAGGGCTATAATCAGTTCTTGGAGAACCTGGATAGGATCCAACAGGGTGCAGATGCTCAACCGAGTGGCAGAGGAGCACAGGAAAGCGAGAGGCAAGAAGTTGGGCAGCTGAGACATGGACTAACGGGTTTAGGGTTTAGGGTTTAGGGTCTAGGGTCTAGGGTTTAGGGTTTAGGGTTTAGGGTCGCTTACCCCAACAGCTTCCAGCGTACGTGGCGATGGAGGGTGGTGGGCGCGATGCCAACTTCTGGGGACGGAACTCTATGATAAAGAGTGCCTGCAAGGGGTGCCTGCCAAGCACATGTCCATGCTGACCGTTAAGGGTTTTAGGGTGCTTGGCGTTTCGGGTTTAGGGTGTAGGTTTTAGGGTAGTAGGGTTTAGGGTTTAGGGTTGGGCCATGGCTGCATTTACGCAGACTTGGGAAGGCTTAGGAGCTCGACTGAGTGCTTAAAGAGTCAGTCGCACCGAGACCGTGTAATGAGTTCAGGCTGGCACCACATAAATGCCCTAAGGGACCCTAAGCCCCAAATCCCCACAGCTCAAAAACCCTAAGCCCTGAACCCTAAACCCTAAACCCTGAACGCTAAGCTCAAAATCTGCAAGTCTTCCCTTCCCTCACCACGCCGAGGTCTACACGCAGGGCAGCCTTGCTCTGGCCGCGGCGGGACGTGTGGCGGAGGTCCCGCGCATACCCTCCTTCCTGGGGTTTGGGGCTTTAGGGATTAGGGTTTAGAAGTCATAGCAATTACCTGAAACACAGAGCCCTAAATCCTAAATCCCGAAACCCGAAACCCCGAAACCCCGGTCCCTGGACCCTCACGAACCTCCAGTTTAGGGTCTCAGGAACCGCAGGTTTAGGGTCTTGGAGGGTCGAAGGGTTGAGGGTGTAGGGTGAATGTCTTAGGATATTCTAGGATTGGGGAGGGAGGGTTCTCGGTTTCGGTGTTGGTTCAAAGCCTCCCTAAGCCCTGAACCGGCACGGTCCGGGTTCGATTTGGTGATTTTTGCTGTATGTTCGGGTTCAGGGTTCAGGATTTCAGGGCTTTAGGTTTAGGGTTTAGGGTTCAGGGTTTAGGGTTTAGAGTTCAGGGTTTAGGATTCAGGGTTTAGGGTGCCTCTTCAGCGTGTGTGTGTGTGTGTGTGTGTGTGTGTGTGTGTGTGTGTGTGTGTGTGTGTGTGTGTGTGTGTGTGTGTGTGTGTGTGTGTGTGTGTGTGTGGTGTGTGTGTGTGTGTGTGTGTGTGTGTGTGTGTGTGTGTGTGTGTGTGTGTGTGTGTGTGTGTGTGTGTGTGTGTGTGTGTGTGTGTGTGTGTGAACATACTTTTGGAACCCAGTGGCCCCTTCTTCCATTTTGGAGGGTTCGGTTCCCTTTGCAAAACCAGGCGCCTTTCTGGCGTTTAGGGTTTTTGGGTTTCGGGCGCCAGAAAATTTAGCGCCCTAGAATCTCAGGGACCTACCTGACCCCCCACTCCCTAAACCATGCGCCCTAAAGCCTGAACCCTAAACTCGCATTGCTGACTGAGAGGCGCTCGCGCTTTATCGCGAGATCCTGGATGCAGGCAGTCTTGGCTGACTTGGGGATCAGCGGTGGCTCTTATTAGCAATGTTGCGAAGCCATGCCTTCAAAACCGGAGGATCTTTCCCCCTCTGGCGCGAGCATGAGGCGCACACCATCGACCTGCCAGGAGCTGAGGATTTCCCCCTCCCCCCACCCCAAGGGTTTAGGGTTTAGGGTTTAGGGTTTCGGGTTTAGGGTTTAGCCTGTGGGTTTAGGGTTATGGGTCTAGGGGTTTGGGGGTTTAGGGTTTACGGCCTAGGGTCTAGGGTTTAGGGTTTAGGGCTAGGGGGTTTGGGGGGGTCTCGGGGTTTAGGGTTTAGGGCTTAGAGTGCCCCGACTCCTAACCCGGAAACCCGAATCCACACATAAGCTCACAGCCGGCCAAGGAAGAAAACCCGCATTTTATAAATTTTAAAGCCGTTAAGGATAAGGAACAATATTTTTTGAAATTAAGGTCTTTTAGAGTTCTTTTCCGTAATAATACAATAACAGTAACGAAATGAAAGAAACGAGGGAAACAACACAGGAAAAGTAGTGTATTCAGATGTGCCGTCTAAAGGCTCCTATATATACAGTAAGGGAATACTACTTAAACCTCCTGTGAATAGAGGTAAAGATGGCTGTTTTGAGGCCATGGCCTTTACGGTAAGTCTATTGAACGACAAAGGGCCGGTGCCCTTCGTTCGTTGCAAAAAAATAGTGCAAGCAGGTGAACAAGCCCGTACAACAAGACTAGAAATAAGCTGGAATGGGGATGGTCCCGCATGATTTCACGCCCAACTAAAATGCACAAACCAACTCCCGACTGTGTTTGGGCTCGGGTGCTTGAGGGTTTGCTTAGTGGTTATTGTGCTTTAGGACTAAGCCCTGTAGACCCTGTCAGCCCTTGCACCCTACCATAGCCCACAGTCCAAAATCCTTCTTAAACTAAACAGGTTCAGTGTTTGAGGTTGTGGATGTTAGGTTTCAGGATGTGGGCTGGGATTTCGGAGGTTTAGGGTGAAGGGTTTAGGGGGCTTGGTGGTGTCGGACCTTGAGGTTTGGGGTTTTGGGGTTTAGGGTTTGGGGTTTAGGGTTTAGGGTTTGGGGTTTAGGGATTTAGGGATTTAGGGTGTAGGGTTTAGGGGTTTAGGGGCTTGAGATCACACATGAGGCATCGCCTTCCCTCGCAGCTGGCGCGCCTGGCCGTGACGGCCAGCATGCTGGACTCCCGTGCACTGCGGTTTAGGGCTTCGGGTTCGGATTTAGGGTTTATAGGGTTTAGGGTTTAGGGTGTAGGATTTAGGGTGTAGGATTTAGGGTTTAGGGTTCAGGGTTCAGGGCTTAGGGTTTAGGATCCCTGGTGCAGTGGGTTGTTAGGGCCTGGGGTCTCTCTGAACGAAAGTCCCTGCAAGTAGCGGTGTTTCGGGGTGATTTTAAGCTTCCCTGCTTCTCTGTGCAATGGAACCTGTTCATGAAGAGCCCTAAACCCTAAACCCTAAACCCCAAACCCCAAACCCTAAACCCCAAACCCTAAACCCTAAACCCTGATCCTAAACCCTCAATCCTGACAGCCCACAGTCCGAACCCTGAACCGTTAAAGCCCTTGAAGCCTTAAACCCCCCCCCCCCCCTCCCAAAAGGCCCTAAGCCCTACATTCCGAAACCTTGGGCCCTAAGCACTTTTAGGGTTTAGGGTTTAGAGTTTAGGGTTTAGGGTTTAGGGTTTAGGGCTATCTCAACCCCAAACCCTTAAAACCCCCCCAAAGCCTGCGCAGGATGGCCTCGACCGGATGTTGCCCGACGACGACCTGGTCATCATCACGGGAAGGAGGCCCCGCGGTGGCCAAGGGTTTAGGGTTTAGGGTTTAGGGTTTAGTGTTCAGGGTTCAGGGCTTCGGGCGTGTTTTTTTTCTTGAGGTGGGGGGGGGGGGCTTAGGGTTTAGGGTTGAGGGCTTAGGGTTTAGGGTTGAGGGTTTAGGGTTAGGGCGGTGATCAACGGCTTCAGTCTTAGGGTTTAGGGTTTAGGAGACTGCATCTATTGTTGCTGAAGCAGCATTCAGTGACTGTATAATATTGGGTATCCTTATGGGGATGCTATCATTACAAAACACCCTAGCTCAGGGTCTGGAGGAAGACTTCTCTTGAACAAGTATTCCTCAGAGTCCGGGGGAACACTTCTCTTGAGGGCACCCTAAACCCTAAACCCTAAACCCTAAACCCTAAACCCTAAACCCTAAACCCTAAACCCTAAACCCTAAACCCTAAACCCTAAACCCTAAACCCTAAACCCTAAACCCTAAACCCTAAACCCTAAGTTTTGACTTCAACGGGGCCATGGCCAGCCCCGAAAACTCGCCCTCGTTAAGGGGGAGAGTGGGGATGGCCCTGATTTCCCCTGTGGTATTCCTGCAATATAGGGGCCTGCATAATTCCCTGGTTGACACTTAAAAGCATATGTTTCCTTAAAAGGGTAATACAGGGATTATTTTCTTTGTTGGGGGGGGGGGTTCTTGAGCAAATTATTGTAATTAAGGTCCCCTGGTTGACCCTAAACCCTAAACCCTAAACCCTAAACCCTAAACCCTAAACCCTAAACCCTAAACCCTAAACCCTAAACCCTAAACCCTAAACCCTAAACCCTAAACCCTAAACCCTAAACCCTAAACCCTACACCCTAAACCCTAAGCCCTAAGCTTGCGTCCTTTGTCGAGCTACCTTGGGAGGGGCCTTTGGGGATGCTTCGGGGCTGTCTCCCCTTGCCTCCCTTGATGTCTCCAACAGCTGAAATTTAGAACTTTTGGGGTTCCCTTATTTAGTAGGAGTAATAAAGTGGAACCTTTTTTCAGCTGAAATTTCAATCTTTTGGGGTTCCCTTATTTAGTAGGAATGATAAAGTTTGGTCAATTTTTGCCCCCTTGGTCGTTGGAGAAGTAAGCCCCTGATGTTTCCATGGACTACCTTTGGTTGCGTTTTTTGGGGAAGTTGAAAGGCAGCTAGGTGACAGGTACAGGCCGGACTTTGACCAACGAATGGGGTGCCCTTTTCCTTTAATGGGATTCTCCTCTATTTGGGGTATAGAAGGGGGTACCCTTATTCTGGGAAATACCCATACCAGGCTCAAGCGCAAGGGCCGTGGTTGCGGATCCCTGGCTCACTCTCGTGGCGCTTTCGTGCCGCAATGGAACTGTTGCTGTCGTTGTGCTGCGTGGCTGCCGCTGTCAAGGGCTGCCATTGCCTGTATTTGACCTACAAGTTCTTCTTGCGCCCTGGCAAAGACCTTCGGCAGTATGGTGAGTGGGCTGTGGTCACTGGCGCCACAGATGGCATTGGAAAAGCTTACGCCATGGAGCTGGCACGTCAGGGGCTGAATGTGCTGCTGATCGCCAGGAATGCGGAGAAACTCGCTGAGACTGCCAATGAGCTCAACGCTAAGTACTCTTCAGTGGCCGTGGATCAACTCCTGGTGGATTTCTGTAACTTTGATGCGGCGGCACAGCAGATGGTGAAAGAGAAGTTGGCTCCCTTGGATGTAGGGATTCTCATCAACAACGTCGGCTTATCCTATCCCTACACCAAGTACTTTCATGAGCTGACGGGTCAGGAGGTGAGAGATATCATGGAGGTGAACATGGCATCAATGACGTGGATGAGTCGCATCGTGCTGGGAGACGAACATGGCGCCCTTGGCATGATCGCGCGCCAGCGCGGCGCCATCGTCAACACCAGCAGCGGCGCTGGCCGGGCCACGTCGCCGCTGCTGGCGGAGTACTCGGCGGCCAAGGCCTACGTGGAGAGGTTTTCCATGGGCTTGGGGGCCGAGTTGGCTTCCAAGGGCGTGCACGTCCAAGCCCAGACGCCGCTCTACGTCGCCACCAAGATGGCCAAGATCAGAAGGGCTTCCTGGACAGTGCCCAGCCCGCAGAGCTACGCGCAATGCGCGGCCCGTCAGATAGGCTACGACGCAGTGATCTCACCGTGGTGGGCGCACTCCTTGCAGCTCTGGCTGCTGTCATTGCTCCCGGAATGGTTTTCAGTGAAGCTCCTGGATCGGCTGCACCAGGACATCAGAAAGAGGGGAATGAGGAAGGACAGGGACAGAGCAGAAGAAAGCTTAGGGCTGCTTCCTTAGCATGTTGAATGCTGGCTTGGGTTTAGGGTTTAGGGTTTAGGGTTTAGGGTTTAGGGTTTAGGGTTTAGGGTTTAGGGTTTAGGGTTTAGGGTTTAGGGTTTAGGGTTTAGGGTTTAGGGTTTAGGGTTTATTTTAGGGTTGCAGCACCCAACAACATCTGCAGGACAGACCCCGAGACATGTCTCCGAAGGCCCGTCAAGTGCAGGAAACCTCAGCTTGTCTCACTCGCTGAGTCACTCGCTGTTGCCATGCCTGGACAAAAAGGTCGGTTCTTCTAACCCACCTAAACTTTGAGATGTTTCCCCTTATACTAACAGTCCTCAGACTCGCATCCCAACCTAAACCCTACAAACGGGCTGGGCCTATAGTGGAGCAAATCCCCTGCTTCAAATTTGTCTGTCGAGCTCTTCTTTGGTTGCCTTTGGTGGCCGCCTTTCCGTTGTTTCCGAGTCGCTTCCTGTCTTTTGGGGTGAACACTCCGTATCTCGCGCTTCTGAAGGGCACCCCATGTTGCGCATAAAGCAGGAGAGTGGCACTCTCGGGGGAGACCCTCAGCCTCAAAAGCCTAAACCCTAAACCCTAAACCCTAAACCCTAAACCCTAAACCCTAAACCCTAAACCCTAAACCCTAAACCCTAAACCCTAAACCCTAAACCCTTACTGAGTCAAAAAGGGCTTCCCCAAGTAGTGCCGCAGCGGTCGAAGTAGCAGCTCCGTTGCCTGTGTGGATGGTGGTTTAGGGTTTAGGGTTTAGGGTTTAGGGTTTAGGGTTTAGGGTTTAGGGTTTAGGGTTTAGGGTTTAGGGTTTAGGGTTTAGGGTTTAGGGTTTGCTTCCCAATAGTATTCCCTCATGGTCCCTCTTTAGATATACTACAATGACCCCCCGAAACCCTCTACACCCTAAACCCCAAAAACCCTAAGCACCCTAAACACCCTAAACACCCTAAACACCCTAAACACCCCAAACACCCCAAACACCCTAAACGCCCTAAACACCCCAAACACCCCAAACACCCCAAACACCCTAAACACCCTAAACCCTAAACCCTAAACCCTAAACCCCATTTCTTCTTTCTTCAGGCCCCTGTATATTACAGCCCACGAGGACCCACAGCTGTGAGTCCAGCACGCCGCTGGCAGTGGCCGTGGCGGGCTTATTACGGGATGTCAGAAGTCCTAGGGTTTAGGGTTTAGGGTTTAGGGTTTAGGGTTTAGGGTTTAGGGTTTAGGGTTTAGGGCCTTAAGCCTAAACTCCCCGAAGACCCCCACGTATTGAAAAAGAAGACATCTGGGATGCACGAGTCTAGGACTGGGCTACTTGAGGCAACTTATGGGTGTGGTTCTAAGTAGGGTTACACAGTACGCCCCCTCCCCTCCCCAGAAAAAGACCTACCCCCTGAGCCTCTATGAGCCCTAACCCTAAACCCTCAACCCTAAATCCCAAACCGTAAAGCCTAAACCCTAAAACCTAAACCCAAAGCCCTATAAGCCCAACAAGCCTTGCAGACCCTACAAACCCGTGTTGCCCTGTAAAGCTATGGTTTTTAGGGTTTTTGGGGTTTTGAGGGTTTGTAGGGTTTGTAGGGTTTATAGGGTTTATAGGGTTTATAGGGTTTATAGGGTTTTTAGGGTTTATAGGGTTTATAGGGTTTATAGGGTTTATAGGGTTTATAGGGTTAAAAAATATTGAAAAAAAGAGTTCACGGGGGGGGGGGGGGGGGGGGGTGGGGAGGTCACAAGTCATAAGATAAAGTACCGATCCGTTTCTAATGGTAGCTTAATGGTTGCAGTGGAAACCCTAAACCCTGAACTCTGAACCGTAAACCCTAAACCCTAAACCTGGTCGCAGTGGCAGCTGGTTGTGGTCGACACTTAGCGACCGCAGTGGTCGTAGATGCGACGCCGTCCTCGTGATTGGGGTTTAGGGGTCTATCTGGGGACTCTATTTACCTACGGTTTAGTAGAAATGTACCCCTTAATTGGTAGGGTTTAGGGTTCAGGGTTTAGGGTAGAGCCCATAAAACGGGTTTAGGGTGGTAAGCTGAAGCCTCCGAAAACTTTTCTCCCTCCAGTGATTCATCTTGGGCCTTCTTGGCGCCCCAAAGCTGTCAAGGACCATAAGATGGCAATTTTCCCAAAGTAAGGCTACCCTTCGTCTACCCCGAATTATGGTGTACTCGCCTGTATAAGGACTGCCGCGATAGGCATCCTACTTTTGGGACCCCCCCCCTTTTTGTATGGTAATGATCAACCCCTCAAGTGGGCAGCCAGTGCTGATGGATCCTGGTACTGAGAATATGCCATAAATTCGCAGGGTATAGGGTTGAGGGTTTAGGGCTCAGGGTCGCAAAGCCCTAAACCCTAAACCCTCAACCCCTCAACCCCTCAACCCCTCAACCCCTCAACCCCTCAACCCTCAACCCTCAACCCTCAACCCTAAACCCTAAACCCTAAACCCCAAACCCCAAACCCTAAACCCCCCCTAAACCCCTTTTGCCCTGAACCGAAAGGTCTCCGAGCTCCTCGAGGCCCTGGGCGTGGGAGGTGTTAAGGGCTTTGGGAGACGGGGGGGGGGGGGGGGGGGGGGGGAAAGGTTTTAAGGTTCAGGGTTTAGGGTTGAGGGTTAGGGTCCAGGGTTTAGGGTTTAGGGTTCAGGTTTTAGGGTTTAGAGTTTAGAGTGTAGGGTTTTTGGGGTTTGGGGTTTCGGGTTCAGGGCTTTAGGGTTTAGAGTTTGGGGTTTTAGAGTTTGGGGTTTAGGGAGAAGGCGTGCGAACGGACCCAGGTTTGTGGGTTTCGGGGCTTATATAGGGCGTTTAAGGCATCAGGGGTTTAGCGTGTGGGGCTTTCAGGTTGGGGGTCTTGGGGTTCAGGGTTTTGGGGGTTCAACTAGGGTTGAGGAATTTAGGGCTTCCCCAAGCATGACGAATCCCCAAGCCTGAGCCCTAAATCCCAAAATCCTGCAACCCCCAAAATCCGCTCTTCAAACGGTTGAGAACTTCCAGAAGCCGTTCTAAAGCCTTGCAAATGTGCCCTAGACCCCCCCACTGGAGGCCCATGGGCAGTTATCACTGCGGTTGTTTGAGTAGTGTGGCTTGGGTAGCTAACCCTAAACGCTAAACCCTAAACCCTAAAGCCTAGCCCCTAAACCCTAAACCCTAAACCCTAAACCCTCTCTAAATTGGGGTTCCTTTTGGGGTCCTATATATAGTACGGCACCCTCTAAAGAAGGGGACCCCAAAAGGGACCCTAACTTGGCTGCCCCAGATAGTAGTTTAGGGGTTTAGGGGTTTAGGGGTTTAGGGGTTTAGGGGTTTAGGGTTTAGGGTTTAGGGTTTAGGGTTTAGGGTCCCTAACTCTCCCAAACGCGCCAGGAGTTGGGCATGTCCTTTGCTCCAGTTCCAGGAAACCCGGGGCGGGCGTGGGCCTCAACAGACCGCTGCGGAACTCTTGGGGTTTAGGGTTTAGGGTTTAGGGTTTAGGGTTTGGGGTTTGGGGTTTGGGGTTTCGGGCGGAACTCCGTGCAGGTTGAGTGGCTGGGCTGGAGTTCAGAGGGGGGTTGTTTTACATGTGGGTCCTTTTCTCTGGATTTTGCAATAGAAGCCCTAAACCCCAAACCTATACCCTAAACCCTAAACCCCAAACCCTAAACCCTAAATCCTAAACCCTAAACCCTAAAACCCCGAAAGTTTGTCAAGTGGCTGGGATGTGGAGCAGCCTCTTATTGCTTGCTTGCAGGTTCATGGTGCTTTATACCCAACTATAACTGTACTTATAGCCTGCTTATAAGCGCCTTAAGTGCCCTAATATGGTTAGAAGTACACTTCTAAGCAAAGTTATAATTTTCTTAATAAGTACCATGAACCTCCAAGTAAGCCCCATGTTTCATGTGTTTAGGGTTTGGGGTTTATCTGGGGTTTTCGGGTTTTAGGGTCTTAGGGTCTTAGGGGTTTAGGGTTGTAGAGTTCTAGGGGTTACGGTTCCTATAGGGTTCGTCGCGCCTTCGCTTCTCTTGGCACTGGCATGTGCATTCAGGGCAAGGCCCCATTTGCGTGTTCTCGTGCTGAACCCTGAACCCTAAACCTTAAAAACCTTAAAGACCTTAAAAACCTTAAAACCTTAAAAACCTTAAACACCTTAAAAACCTTTAAAACCTTGAAAACCGTAAAAGCCTAAAAACCCGAAAAAAACCTAAAAAACCTAAAGAACCGAAAGAACCTAAAGAACCTAAAGAACCTAAAGAACCTAAAGAACCTAAAGAACCTAAAGAACCTAAAGAACCTAAAGAACCTAAAGAACCTAAAGAACCTAAAGAACCTAAAGAACCTAAAGAACCTAAAGAACCTAAAGAACCTAAAAACCAAAAAAACCTAAAACACCCAAAAACCTAAAATACCTAAAACCTAAACCCCAAACCCGAAACCCTAAACCCCAAACCCTAAGCCCTAAAACCCGAAAACCCTAAACCCTAAATCCTTTGAGGTGCGAGTGCCAAGCTTGGTCCGGCAGCTGCTGGGCAGTCAGCTGGGGCAAAAACATGAGCCCTTTGATGGATTTAGTAGGGTTTAGGGTTTAGGGGTTAGGGTTTAGGGTTTAGGGTTTAGGGTGATTAAGGGAGCTTGGGGGTTTAGCGGGGCTTCGGGTTTAGGATTTAGTAGGGTTTAGGGTTTGGGGTTTAGGTGTTTAGGGTTTAGGGTGACTAGGGGTCAGAAAGTGATTAGGAGTTTGGTGTGGGGTGCTCGTTGCAGTGTCGACACATGCGGGCGTGGCTGAGGTGGGAAGATTGCTGCGCACTTCTCTGGCCCACTTTACTGTCTCGCAGAGCTTGCCTGAGGACCCGCTGCCTCTGTCTGCAGCCAGCATTTCGGGCTCAAGCAACACCGAGACAACTTCGAGCATTCCGCGCAACACCCGGAGCCCTTTGTGCACGTAGGGCGACAGTTCGCAGCCTCCCAAGTTACACACCAGCTGCATCCTCAGGGGCTTCAGTACCAGTGCGTATC